GTAAAATGAGGAGTGTAAACTCGAACAGGAACTCCGCTGGGTGGCTTAAGTGGTGATGTGTAATCGGCAATAAATCCAGTCCTTGGGGGGTCTGTACAAAAAGCTGGAGGAGGAAACCATCTGCCATCTGTGGTCCTTTTTTGTGGGTTGAGGCATCGGTATCAACAGGTTTCTTTCTGTCTGGAGTTGAGAGACGCACAGAAGAGGAAGGAAGGCTCCTGCTGAACACTGAGGATGGCACCACAACAATACAGCTTACACAGATATGAGTCCTATGAAGTGACTCACTGAGTAGTTATGGAACATTAGCTCTGATCCAAAACCCTGCTGTTTACTGTCTACATAAGCAGCTACCTTCTAATGCAGCATCTTAACTGAAATGGAACGTCATAATATGACTCATTTGAAACACTGACTCATGATTCCAAAAAGCATGTAGCTACGCTAATGACACAATCCGCAAATAAGCATAAAAATACATAAATACTGGCTAAAACTGTCAATTTTCTTCTTGAGTGAAATAATGAACGAAATAAAAATTCATAATCAACATTTCGCTCAAGTTTTAGACCATCTTGTTTTTTTGCAATGCATCCTGGGATTATCTTTTCCACAAGGATACATGTGATTCTTCGTTTTAGGACTAAAACAAAGTATCTTAAAAGGTAGCATAGACAGTATTTTATCTTTTGCCAATATGATGCCTTAAAACGCAGTTGAGGTAGGCAGCACGGTAAGAATAATAATGCATTGTAGTTGACAGAAAACGCTCAAACACAATAAGGACTGAATGATAGAGTTTATATACATACAAAGGCAAAAGCTGAATACAATACGCCTTTTTGTTATTTTTCATTTTCTTTTTACAGAAATCTTTTATCTTTTCCACACAGACGTAAGGCAGTATTTTTTGTGAACATGAAAATATCATTTAAAAAAAAGACATGAAAGATGACCAGCTTTGGGTTAAAGTTGACATTTTCCCCATTTATTTTTCTTCATTAAATGAAAGGGGAAAGGCCGAGAATCCTCCTTGACAGTGTTTCTGTGTACTGTGTAGAAAAAGAGCATGAATCATTAGAAAAGATAGACCCTTGCTGTAACAGAAGGCAGGGTTGCTGGAGCCAAGAGAGCATGATGTGGATGGGGTGATATTGAGGTCTGACACTCTCTTAGAA